AGTTATTTCTAGATTAATTCAAAATACTTTCTGTTACAAACTCCACAATTAATGTAGAAGACCGTTTAAACAAGTGTTAAACTCTTTACAAACTTTTTTAAAAGGTGAAATTCTTATTTTACAGTGGTTCTTGCAGAAAACTGTCAGCTGAAAATACAGAAAATTAGATTTACTTTGGAATGAACAGGTGATTAATTCAAATAAGTCAAAGGTGGGCAATTATTGAATCACAGCACCTGTCATGTTTTTGATTACCTACTTTCAAATGTACATTTCAAAACATACCGAAAAATATTTCTAAGAAGGACAGTTAGAAGTGGCAAGCCACAAAATACACTTTTTTAAAATTCACTCAAGGGGCGTGGGCATTGCCCATCCTTAGTTGCCCTTGAGAAGGTGATGGTGAGCTGCCTTCTTGAACCACCTGTAGTCCATGTGCTGAATGTAGGCCCACAACGCCATTAGGGATGGAGTTCCAGGACTTTGATCCAATGATACTGAGCAAATAGTGATATATTTCCATGTTCAGATGGTGAATGGCTTGGTGGGGAAATTAGGTGGTGGTGTTCCTAGGTAACTGCTGCCTTTGCCCTTGCCCTTCTAAATGGAAGCGGCCGTGGGTTTGGAAGGTGCTGTTTTAAGATGGCCTGGTGAATTTCTGCAGTGAGTTTGCAGACAGTCAAAAGTCCTAGGTAGGTGGATCGTCCATGCTAAAAATTACCCCGTAGTGTTCAGGGAAGTGTAAGCTAGGTGGATTAGCCACAGTAAACTAGATAATTGAGGAACTAGATAATGAAGTCAGTGTGACTAAGGGGAAGAGTAGGCAGAGAGCAAATGATGAACGCAGAGGGACAGGTGGTCTGAGGTACATTTGTTTTAATGCGAGAAGTGTAGTAGGTAAGGCAGATGAACTTAGGGCTTGGATTAGTACCTGGGAATATGATGTTATTGCTATTACTGAGACTTGGTTGAGGAAAGGGCAAGATTGGCAACTAAATATCTCAGGTTATAGATGCTTCAGGTGGGATAGAGAGGGAGGTAAAAGGGGTGGAGGAGTTGCATTACTGGTCAAAGAGGATATCACAGCTGTGCAGAAGGAGGGCACTATGGAGAACTCGAGCAGTGAGGCAATATGGGCAGAGCTCAGAAATAGGAAGGGTGCGGTAACAATGTTGGGGCTGTACTACAGGCCTCCCAACAGCGAGCGTGAGATAGAGGCCCAAATATGTAGACAGATTATGGAAAGATATAGGAGCAACAGGGTGGTGGTGATGGGAGAATTTAATTTTCCCAACATTGACTGGGATTCACTTAGTGTTAGGGGTTTAGATGGAGCAGAATTTGTAAGGAGCATCCAGGAGAGTTTTCTAGAGCAGTATGTAAATAGTCCAACTCGGGAAGGGGCCATACTGGACCTGGTGTTGGGGAATGAGCCTGGCTAGTGGTTGAAGTTTCAGGAGGGGATTACTTTGGTAATAGTGATCACAATTCTGTAAGTTTTAGAATACTGATGGACAAAGACGAGAGTGGTCCTAAAGGAAGAGTGCTGAATTGGGGGAAGGCCAACTATAGCAAAATTCGACAGGAGCTGGGGAATGTGGATTGGGAGCAGCTGTTTGAGGGTAAATCCACATTTGATATGTGGAAGGTTTTTAAAGAGAGGTTGATTAGAGTGCAGGACAGACATGTCCCTGTGAAAATGAGGGATAGAAAGGGCAAGATTAGGGAACCATGGATGACAGGTGAAATTGTGAGAGACTAGCAAAGATGAAAAAGGAAGCATACATAAGGTCTAGGCAACTGAAAATAGACGAAACTTTGGAAGAATATTGGGAAAGTAGGAGCAATCTGAAATGAGGAATTAAGAGGGCTAAAAGGGGTCATGAAATACCTTTAGCAAACAGGGTTAAGGAAAATCCCAAAGCCTTTTATTCATACATAAGGAGCAAGAGGGTAACTAGAGAAAGGGTTGGCCCACTCAAGGACAAAGGAGGGAAGTTATGTGAGGAGTCAGAGAAAATGAGTGAGACTCTTAATGAGTACTTTGCGTTGGTATTCACTGAGGAGAGGAACATGATGGATGTTGAGGTTAGGGATAGATGTTTGATTACTCTAGGTCAAGTCAGCATAAGGAGTGGGGTAGTGTTGGGTATTCTAAAAGGCATTAGGGTGGACAAGTCCCCAGGTCTGGATGGGATCTATCCCAGGTTACTGAGGGAAGCAAGAGAGGAAATAGCTGGGGCCTTAACAGATATCTTTGCAGCATCCTTGAGCATGGGTGAGGTCCTGGAGGACTGGAGAATTGCTAATGTTGTCCCCTTGTTTAAGAAGGGTAGCGAGGATAATTCAGGAAATTATAGACTGGTGAGCTTGACATGAGTGGTGGGGAAGCTGCTGGAGAAGATACTGAGGGATAAGAGCTATTTACATTTGGAAGAAAATGGGCTTATTAGTGATAGACAGTATGGTTTTGTGCAGGGAAGGTCATGTCTTACCAACTTGATAGAATTCTTTGAGGAAGTGACAAAGTTGATAGATGAGAGAAAGGCTGTAGATGTCATATACATGGACTTCAGTAAGGCATTTGATAAGGTTCCCCATGGTAGGCTGATGGAGAAAGTGAAGTCGCATGGGGTCCAGGGTGTACTAGCTAGATGGATAGAGAACTGGCTGGGCAACAGGAGACAGACAGTTGTAGTGGAAGGGAGTTTCTCAAAATGGAGAACTGTGACCAGTGGTGTACCACAGGGATCCGTGTTGGGACCACTGTTGTTTGTGACATACATAAATGATCTGGAGGAAGGTATAGATGGTCTGATTAGCAAGTTTGCAGATGACAGTAAGATTGGTGGAATAGCAGATAGTGAAGGGGACTGTCGGAGAATGCAGCAGAATATAGATAGATTGGAGAGTTGGGCGGAGAAATGGCAGATGGAGTTCAATCCAGGCAAATGCGAGGTGATGCATTTTGGAAGATCAATTCAAGAGCAAACTATACGGTAAATGGAAAAGCCCTGGGGAAAATTGATGCACAGAGAGATCTGGGTGTTCAGGTCCATTGTATCCTGAAGGTGGCAACGCAGGTGGATAGAGTGGTCAAGAAGGCATACGGCATGCTTTCATTCATCGGATGGGGTATTGAGTATAAGAGTTGGCAGGTCATGTTACAGTTGTATAGGACTTTGGTTCGACCACACTTGGAATACTGCGTACAGTTCTGGTCGCCACATTACCAAAAGGATGTGGATGCTTTGGAGACGGTGCAGAGGAGGTTCACCAGGATGTTGCCTGGTAATGGAGGCCGCTAGCTATGAAGAGAGTTTGAGTAGATTAGGATTATTTACATTAGAAAAACGGAGGTTGAGGGCGGACCTGATTGAGGTCTACAAAATCATGAGAGGTGTAGACAGGGTGGATAGCAAGAAGCTTTTTCCCAGAGTGGGGGACTCAATTACTAGGGGTCACGATTTCAAGGTGAGAGGGGAAAAGTTTAAGGGAGATATGCGTGGAAAGTTCTTTACGCAGAGGGTGGTGGGTGCCTGGAACGCATTGCCAGCGGAGGTGGTAGAGGCGGGCATGATAGCATCATTTAAGATGTATCTAGACAGATACATGAATGGGCAGGCAGCAGAGGGATACTGATCCTTGGAAAATAGGCGACAGGTTTAGATAGAGGATCTGGATCAGCGCAGGCTTGGAGGGCCGAAGGGCCTGTTCCTGTGCTGTAACTTTCTTTGTTCTTTCTTTGTTCTAAATGCAGGATTACGGGGGCTGGATAGGATGCTCTTCGGAGGGTCACTGCAGACTTGATGGGCCAAATAGCCTCTGTCTGCACTGTAGGGATTCTGTGATTCTATGATAACACCATTGCTTCTGAACATTGCTGGAAGGAATAGATATTTGTGACATTGTGCCAATCAAGTGGGCTGCTTTGTTCTTGATGGTATCAAGCTTCTTGACTGTTGGAGCTGCACTCATCCAGGCAAGCAGGGATATTCCATCACACTGTTGACTTTTGCCTTTTAGGTAGTAGACAGGCTCTGGAGAGTTACTCCCTGTAGAATTCCTAACCTCTGACCTTCTCTTATAGCTATTATGTTTATATGTATAGTTCAGTTCAGGTTCTTATCAATGGTAACTCTTGGGATGTTGGTTATAAAGGATTCAGTGATGGTAACACGATTGAAATGTCAAGGTGAAATGGTTAGATGTTTCTTATTGGAGATGATCATTTCCTGGCATTTGTGTGGCATGAATGTTGCATGCTACTTTCCTGATTATTGTCCAGGCCTCGCCACATCTGGACGTGGGACTGCTTCAGTATCTGACAAGTCACAAACAATGCTGAACATTGTGCAGACTTCAGTGAATTTCTGACATTATGATACAGGAAGAGTGATTGAAGCAAATAAAGATAGTTGGGCTTAGACATTACCCTGAGAAACTCCTGCAAAGCATCATCTGGAGCTGAGATGACTGACATCCAACAACCACAAGCACTTCCTTTGTGCCAGGATGAGTACAACCAGTGGAGACTTTTCTCTCAATTCCCATTGACTCCAGTTTTGCTGCAGTTCCTTGATGCCACACACTTTCAAATGCAGTCTTGATATCAAGGGTAGTCATTCTCATCTCACCTCTAGAATTTAGCTGTTTTGTCCATGTTTGAACCAAGGCTATAATAAGGTCAGGAATTGACTGGTCCTGGCAGAACCCAAATTGGGCATCAGTGAGCAGGTTATTGCCAAGCTGGTGCTGCTTGATAGCATATTTGATGACTCCTTCCATCACTTTACAACCAAGAATAGACCGATGGAGTGATAATTGGCTCAGTTGAATTTATCCTGCTTTGTGTGTACAGCAGCTGGGTACAGAAATTCTTTTAAAATTTCTTAATCTCTTATTTACAAACTGAAATCAAAATTGTGAATATTATTTCAGCACAACTGCAAAGAATGCAATCTACCAACAATAATCACTATCCAAAATGTACAACTTACTGGCCTCTCTAATACCACAGGAAGAGACGGCAAAAACTCAGGTTTCTCTTTTGAAATAGGCAGGCTAGCAATTTTCATCAGGAATTCTCTGCTGTATGTAATCCTCTCTGCATCTGGAATGTAAATGGAAATGGGTAAACAAAACTGGACATCTTATTAATTTATCAACAGATTTTTGCATTTCATCAAACTATCCACTGGAATTATGGGCATATTAAAGAGTCACATTAAAACCTGCACTTGTCACTGCACCTTGCTTGTTCCCAACTATTAATGTTGCCTTAAATTAAGATTTTTGGTTGAACTCTTGCAGGAATTAGTTGATCTACTGAGGCTTTTTCTTTACGGGCTTTTCACTACTGGAGATTGGATTGATTTTGATTTTGAACTTGCAGAATACCAAATATGATACGAGTAGCAAGAAGTATTCCAGTATTGAAAATAAAGAATGCTGCTACATAACCATCTAATTCCTAAATTTAAGACTTGATGTACCAATCAAGTTCATTTACAATATCAGCCTGGCAATAGGAATGCTACAGGAGTACATTCAAATATATTTATTAAGTAGTGAAATTTCCATCATCCCTTTTGTTTCCTATTTCCCATGCTCTGGAAGTCACATGACTTTTTTGCCTCTTGAAGACCTTATCCCCCTCTTCAGACCCTCCTTGAAGTCTATTTAAAGTCTATCTCTTTGACTCTCTCCTAATAACACATTCAGTAGCTTGGAATCCTGTTTTTTTTTCTCTCTTTTAACAATGTGTAGGAGCAGGAGAAAGCCAAAGGGCACCATTCAAAACTACCTGCAGTACTCCAGTGTGGTCTCTCAAAACTCCCATATGATCATAGCACATTTTTTTTTATTCTTGTACTTCAGTCCCTTTTACAATAAAGGGGAAATGTCACATTCCTTCCTAATTGTTTACCATGCCTGGATGCTGGCTGTTTCTTGTACAAGAATACTAAAGTCCCTCTGAAAATCAACATTTCTAAATTCATGCCTTGTAACAAACTTGGTTTTTCTACTCTTATAGCAAATGCAAATAATCTCACATTTCCCCACATTAACCTTGACCTGACATCTTGCTACCCAATCACCTAACTAGAATAATTCTGCATGTAGCCTCTGAGTCCTTCGCGAAGCTTACAAACCCCCAGTTTTGTATCTTCAACAACCACAGATATATTGCCTTAGGTGAATATACCAAAAGTATCGATACGGATTGCAAGTAGTTGAAACCCCTGTAGTCCTCCTTACAGCACTCACTAGAACTAGCCTGTCAACTTGAAAATGCCCCCCTTTATCCTTACTCTTTGCTTCTTGCCTGTTAACCAAAAGTCAGTACGTGCTAGTATATTACCTAAGCTCCAAGAGCATTATCTTTACATAAACTTTGGTTACAGCACATTACCAAATTTCATTTGGAAATCCAAGTATCTACTGGCTACCCTCATCTTTCTTGACTTATTACTTCCTCAAGACTCTAATAAATTTGTCAAAAGTAATTTGTCTTCCAAAAAACCATACTGACTGTGACCATGAGATGATTTTCTAAGTACATTAGCAATTAATTCCAGCATTTTTCTAATGTCAGGTTAAGTGGTTTTCATTCCCTGTCTTCTACCTTAATTCTTTCCCGAATAAAAGGTGCTGTATCATCAAATCACATAGAAGACCATTCAGTCTGTGATGTCTCATCTGACTTTCTGGTTTAGTAATCCAATTGATGCCATTCCTCTGTTTTTCTTATAATTCAATTTACGTCCTTTTCAGATAATAACCTAATTCCCTCTTGAATGACCCAATTGAACCTACCTTTACAATACTATGAGGCAGTATGTTCTGGATCTTAACCACGCACCACAGGAAAATATTTCTCCTCATGTCTCCTATTGCTGCCTTTTCCAATTATATTTGCTAACTTTCAATTGCTCGTATTGTGCTAGAATCTATAATTTTGGAAAATCATAACCAGCACATCAACTATCACTGCATTTAAGTCTTTAGAACTGTAGGGATACGAGCCATCAAGTAATGGGAATGTGTCAGATTTTAACTCCTTAAACTTTCTCGATTTTCTTTTTCTCATGTTAATTAGCTTAAATTTTTTATTCTTGTTGGCTGCTTGGTTACCACCATCCCATTTCCCCACTAATTTCTATCTTTTACTGAGAAGACCAGACACAAAATATTTATTCAACGTCTCTGCCATTTTTTTTAGTCCCTGTAATAATTTCTCTTCTCGCCGTTTCCAAAAAAAACTATTTTTTACTTTAGAAATTTCCTTCCTTGTAGAGCCTGTAAAAGCTCTTACAATCAATTCTTAAGTTGCTGGCTAGTTTGCCCACTACTTTTCTCCTTTATTTTCTGACTTTTTAATGACATTTTGATGGTTTCTAAATGCTTCCAATTCTCAGGCTTACTCTTACACTTTGACACATTAAATATCTCTTCTTTGAACATAATACTTCCCTACAACTCTCAAGGAACCTGAGACAGTTCTTTTTTTGCTGAGTTTTTCTTTTTAATAGAATGTATTTTTGTTGAACATTCTGAATGGTTTCTTTAAATGTTTCCAACTTTATTTATTGCCAAACCTTTTAATTTATTTACACAAACAACCTTAATTAGTATCTTATTTAGTACTGCAGTATGCCACTCTTAAACTTAAAATGGAATTCAATTGAACTATCATCATTTCCTCAGTATCTACTTAACTGCTAAGTTACTAGAACCACTGTCCAATTCAACAATTGGACACCTAAGATAGCTTCATCTCAAGTTGGTTCCACAATATATCGTCCCAGGATACCTCTCAAAAACATTCTGCAAATTAATCTTCCAAATCACCTTTGTCAATTTGATGGATCCAGTCTATATGAAGATTGAAGTATTCCAAAATTATTACATTATCTTGGTAACAAGATTGTAACAAATTACTTTTTGTTTGATTCTGTCCAACAGTGTTAGTACACTTACATCAGGAATATAAATTACTTCCACCTGCATTTTCTCGCCACTGTCATTCTTACCACACACCTGATCTTCTGTAGCAAAACCTTTTTTTAAAGTTCTTATTACTGTCCTGATGTTATCCTTAATAATCAGGGTTACATCTCCTCCTCTTCCATTCCATCTGTCTTTTTGAAAAATGTTGTGTCGTTATTTCCCTTGGTCAACTTGTAATTATATCTCTAATACTGACTAGATCTAAACTGTTTACTTTTATTTGTGCTATTAATACACTTCTCTTACTGGACGTACTAAGTGCTTTCAGAGAAACTGCTTTTAATTTTACTTTTACAACTTTATTTGCATGGACCTTATTCATTTAATGTATTATGACTTTTAAACTCTCGACTTCATCCTTGTCCAAATCTGTTTTTAGTTGTTGTGCAATCAGTTAGTGCACTGTCATATTGTTCCCTTCATCTCAGCCCTTATCCCCTACATTTTTGTTAGGCTTTTCTCTCCACAAAGAAGTCCAAGACAGTTTTCTCTATGACGGCTGTTACGGGCCTTGTCTCAGAATGGGCCCTGGGCAAACAAACTGTCCTCTGGAAACAGGGATCATGATACCTTTGCAAAATTTCAGGACACTATTGAGAACAATATTGAGAATGATTAGTTTTGATCATCCAAAATAACCATCAAACATTGAATTACTGAAACACCAGTTAACAACCTAGCTGCAAACATTCTGAAATTAACCTACAGAATGTCTTAAGGGTTGCTAATCTTGCATGCATTCATGCATTCTTTTGAATTTCACCGTAGCAACATTATGGAGATCCTGGAGGACCTCCAATGCTTTTTTAAATGAATCAGAACTTGACTTCAATTATGAGGAATTTGTAAAATTATAATTCAAGATATTTTAGAAAACATTTTAGGAAACACCTGACATGCAATGAACAAATTGATCAGAAAATTGTGGAAAATTATCAATTCAGGATCCCACTAGGCACTAAAAGAAGCTGTAAATCCACAGTTTATGATACTATTAATTTGTTCCCTACCTGGACATCCAGCCTGATGGACAGGCAGAACCTTGAACTGGGCATAGAATCTCTCAGTGAAGACTGTAGCAGCAGACTAATTAGAGGAACATGGGTCATAAGAGCATAGGGGTTAGAGTCAGAAGAATGTTACATGGCCTTTCCAGCCTGCTGCACCATTCTCAACTCCATTTTTCTCCATAACCTTCAACTTCCTTGTCTATCAAAATAGGAAATTAGTACGGGCAGCATGCTTTATGGGAGGAGAGGGAATTAACGATTGCATATGGGGAACAAGAAGGTGGACAATTGATTAGGTCATTTGGGTTAGCTGCAATTTTCAAGAAGCTGCGTGGTGGGGGTGGAACTCATAGCTTGAGGGAGAGAGATCAGAGGTTTCAAATATTGGAGAGGCAATCAGACTTTGGAGGATGTGTGCTGGGTCTGGGACTTGGGTCCTGGTAATGGAAAGGGATCAGAGGCCTCATGATGGCATCAAATAATTTGGTGAAGTTGCCCAATCGTAGGAGCTTCAGAGTTGGGAACCTGGATCCAGGAGGTAGGTGCAAAGGCACTTACCTCCTGAATCCACAAAGTCCTCGCCTCGATAAAGCTGCCAGGTTGCCTGATGCCAGAATTCAACTTGAAAACCTGAAGAGCAATGAAGTTCATAGCCTCGTTATTTAAAGTTCTAATCCGCCTCCTTCAAGCAGGTTAGCTGTCCAGTTAACTTCTGGCCTCGCTTAAAGTTGTAAATTGCTAAGTTGGAGGCAGGTTTGGACCAGGAAAAAAGATTTTTACGGATTTCAATCGTATACCTGACTCAAACCAACCCCCTTCCTCTTCTTTTTCTGCTAAAAATTCTGCTCTGCCTTTTTCTTACTTCTCAACCAATTATATGGCACTGATATCCATACCTCTATGTAGAAATGCCAACATGCATATAACTTAAATCTTGCAGGCAACTCAAATATAACATTCACACCACTTGCTGAAACATATTTAGTTATCTTTACAAGAGTTGTTCTGCATTCTAATTCAGTGCAATCAGATTCTTAGGCCTTGATTTTCATGGACTTGTGAAATTCCTACAGCTGGAAAATTAAGACCTGAAATTCTGGCCCCTTTTCCAAAAGATCCAATTTTACTGCTGGCAGAATGACTCTCTCGTTGATGAAACCCAAATCCAACAAAGTCATTTGAATTCAATACTGAATTCAAATAATACTCAAATAGGCTCCTGATTCCACCGGCACAAGGGTCTTATCCTACAATGAATGACTGATGAGCTTTGGAGTAATGCTCACAAGTGCTCATAAAGTGTCAAAAAGATGTTAAAGGTGTTAAATTATTTAAATTCATTGACATTTTCCCAAAATGTATAGACAGTGTATACCTGTGTATTTGGGGGGAAAAGTATAATTGTCATGTCTGTTGACATAATCCCAAATGCTATTATTATAGCAATTTTTACCACTTGATTGCTTGTGCACCCTGTCATTATCACAGTGGTGGCCTTTAAGTGCAAGGTTTGGCAATTCCAAAAGATTTTTAAATGTTTAGCTGCCTTTGTAGGATTCTTAACACAATTGTTTCTTTTAGGAGATTTTAACGTATTGAATGGGCTTTCATGAGGCAGTGTTTCGTATTGTATAGTGGTGTGTAATAGATAATTAGGACTGACATGAGGAGAAATTTCTTTACCCAGAGAGTAGTGAGCATATTGGAATTTTCTGCCATAGAAAATCATTGAAGCCAGAATATTTAATGTTTCCAAGGGGTTAGATATAGTTCTTATGGATAAGTGTTCAGAGGGTATGGAGAGAAAGTTGGGGCAAACAGTTTGCTGAGTTGGATAATCAGCCATGAACATATTGAATGCCAGGCCAGACATGAAGGGCTAAATTGTCTACTCCTGCTCATATTTTTTTTTAATTTCTATCATTTCACTGTGGCTTCCAAATTCGCCCATGTTGGATAATGGTTGGGTTAACATGGTCAGTAGTAACAGCAGAGAATGATGGGTAGAGGCAATGGTTAGCAAAGATTGCACTAAATTGGCAAAGGGGCATGACAGCTCTTGGGAATGAATGGGGTGTATGGGTTAACACTGAGGATACAACAGAATATTTGACCACGTGGAGGGGGATAAATTGTCATGAGTTGATGTGGATGGGGTGTGAACAGTGGTTGTAAGGCTGAGAGCAAATGGACTTAATGTTTAATAACATAACTGTGACAAAGTCCAGAGAATTGAGGTGGGCTTTTAACCATTCAGCCTTGGGACTAGGCAGCTGCTATCGCTGACTCCACTTTGCACTTGGCCATGCAGCATCCCTCACCCAGATGCCTGTGCAAGTTGGGAGATATCCCAACTGAGTGTTTACGAGATCCTGGTGACCCAAACATCAATCTGTTTCATACTGCAACACATGCAATGACAGATTGGATCTGTATGCTTTCTAGTACCCATGCAGGCATTATGAAGGACTGGTCTGATCGTCTAGATGTTGGAGACCACTCCACCTGAGCTACCATCAACAACAGATTCTTTGCATACTTTCTGCTGCCTTCATCAATGCTTGATGTTCAAAAAGGTGTATCTGCTGTGCTGTATCTTACTCGGAGCACTAGCCCTGAACTCTTCCTCTAAATTCCTCAGTTAGGATGCTTTTGAGCTAATACTTGAACAGGGGTTGAGGGAGGGTGGAGATTGAGAAATGTGCGTCATGCCATGTGCACACATGACCAAAACATAGTACAGCCTGAAGTACCTTTCTGAAGCATACCTATAGAAAGGGAAATAAATTTATAATAATGCACTAGTAGGCAATTTTCATATGCAACTTTGAGTAGGAGTTACATGAATATTTTTACCAAGTGTAGCTTTTCTGAGAATTCACAAATTAGAGTATAGAAACATTTGTTACTAATAGTGAGCTGACAGCAAAACTGCTTTTTCACTTTCAGCACTAGCTTTTTTCTAAGATCTTAAGGTTTTCTTCCTCATATGGGGTTGGAACTAAGAATGGTTTATGTGAGGTGTTCTTAAATAAGCTTTTTTAAGCTCAGGTGTACTTGTGGTCAAAGATGGTCCCGCTTTTACTGGTCTTCACACTGCTGCTCCTTCTGCGTACTCTTTGCTGCCCAAATGTTGGTAAAAGGTTGGTTCTTAATGATACAAAAGGCATGTAGCATGTGGTACAATGAGATTAATATACAGAAGAGATTAAACCAATCCACAAAAATGAGAGACAGCTGTTTGATTCTCAAATACAGCTCTCTAGTATAGTACCTATGTACAGTATTTTAAAAATAATTCACTTAGATGTCTTTGCTGGCTGGGCCAATAATTATTGCCCATACTTGGTTGTCCTGTAGGTGGTGGTTGTGAGATAAGTAAAGGAATGTTACAGTATATAAGGAATTGAAGACCTGTACTTAGGAGATAAGGAACAAGCAGCATCAAGAATATTGTACTCCTAAATGCCCACAGCATGAGATACTCAAGACTGGTATCTCAATGTGCAGGCAGAAATTATGAGTTGAAGCACAAGATAAGGAATATTGGAAGCTGGGGGAAAGAGCCAGTGTCTGAAGATTAAAGAAGAATCCAAGGGACCAAGCGCAAACGTGAAAATTCTGAAGACAGGGAAAGACTTAAATTAGGAAGCTGCACAGTGGAAAGACTATAAGGGGCAGGAAAAGAACCTCAAAACATTTCAAAGTGTAGCTACAAATCAATAGCCTAGAAAGGAAAAATACAGAATTGGAATGCTTAAACAAAAGAAGTGATAGAATATTCTTCCTCTGTACCCACAGTGATTAAATTAGATTAGAGTTCCTTTGTTCAATAGCTTTATTCAAGCACATGGGGCAGCACAGTAGCTTAATGGTTAGTGCTGCTGCCTCACAGCACCAGCGACCTGGGTTCAATTCCAGCCGTGGGAAACTATCTGTGTGGAGTATGCACATTCTCCACATGCATGTGTGTGGGTTTCTGCCGGGTGCTCAGGTTTCCTCCCATAACATAAAGATGTGCAGTTAGGTGGATTGGCTATGCTAACATTGCCCACTGTCCAAGTATGTGTATGTGTATGTGAGGTAGATTAGCCATGGGAAATACAGGGTTACAGGGATAGGGTAGGGGGCATGAGTCTGGGTTGTACGTTCTTCAGAGAGTCGGTTGGACTTGTTGGGCCTATATAGCTATAGCGATAGGGTTCCCCTTGTCTTTACCTATCATCCCACCAGAATCCACATCCAGAAGATCATCTGGACAATACATCCTCACACTCTGCTTCCTGTAAAGACTCCATCCCATTCTCTCAGTTCCCCCATCTCCGTCACATATGTTCAGAAGAGGCCAACTTCGATAAGGCAGCCTCCGCAATGTCCACCTTCTTCCTCAACCGAGGATTCCCCAGCACCGTTGTTGACAGGGCCCTCAACCAGGTCCGACCCATCTCCCGCACTTCCACCCTCACCCTTTCTCTTGCCTCCCGCAACAGCAATAGGGTTCCTTATCTACCATGCCACCAGCATCCACATCCAGAAGATCTTCAGACTCCACTTCCACCACCTCCAGTGAGATGCCACCACCAGACACATATTCCCCTTCCCTCCCTTGTCTACCTTCCATTGGAACCTTTTCCATAGGCCTTCCGGGACACCCCAGTGCACTCTTCCTTCACTCCCAAAACCACCACACCCCCACATCACTTTCCCCTGCAACTGGCAAAGGTGCACCACCTGCCCATTTACGGTCCTCCCTCCCCAGTATCCAAGGGCCCAAACATAGCTTCCAGGTGAAGCAGCACTTCACCTGCGCTTCCCACAATCTAGTCTACTGTATCTGCTGCTCACAATGTGGTCTCCTCTACACTGGGGAAACTAAGCATAGGCTAGGTGATTGCTTCACAGAACATCTATGTGCTGCTCACAAAAAAGACCCTGAGCTACCTGTTCCCTGCCACTTTAACACACCACCTTGTTCCCTGGCCAACATCTGTCTCTGGCTTGCTGCAGTGTTCCAGTGAAGCTCAACTTAAGCTGGAAGAACAACACCTCCTCATTTTCTGCTTGGGGACCCTGCAGCCCACTGTACTCAATATCGACTTGAATAATTTTAGGGCCTAAACTTTCCCATGTCCTAACCCCCTACCCCACACGCCAGGCCGAATTGTCACATAGCCTGCCATTACACAATACCTATTTTTAGTCACTAACAGTCCCCATTAACAACTATTCACCCTCCTAGCCAGATCGTTATCAACTCCTTTGTCTATCCAACTGCTCTTCTCTCTCTCTTCGGGCTCTATCCTATCATTTGCTCCCCACCCCATCCCCGCCTCCCTATTTTCTGCATATGAACTGACATTTTCCCAGTTACCATCAGTTCTAAGGAAGGGTCACCGGACCCAAATCATTAACTCAGATTTTTTTTTCCCCAAAGATGCTGCCAGACCTGCTCAGTTTTTCCAGCAACTTCTTTTTGTTCCTGATTTACAGAATCCACAGTTCTTTCAGTTTTTATTTAGTGTCAACATATTGTTCCTAAACAGTTTGAGCAGCTTGTACTTGAACTGTTTCTCAACCTTTCCCCTTTCAAATAGTAAGGAGGAAAAATTCAGGTACCATCAGGTCAATTA